GTGGTCAATTGCAACGTGGTCAATCGGGACCGTGGTCAATTGCAACGTGGTCAATTGCAACGTGGTCAATTGCAACGTGGTCGATCGGAATCGTGGTCAATTGCAACGTGGTCAATCGGGAACGTGGTCAATTGCAACGTGGTCAATCGGGACCGTGGTCAATTGCAACGTGGTCAATCGGGAACGTGGTCAATTGCAACGTGGTCAATCGGGACCGTGGTCAATTGCAACGTGGTCGATCGGGACCGTGGTCAATTGCAACGTGGTCGATCGGGACCATGGTCAATTGCAACGTGGTCAAGTGAAAAGTCAAGTGAAAATGCTGGTTTGGTCGACGACGACGACAAAGATGTTTCTTAATCCGAAATTTAACAAATCTGACTTTGCATTGCAATACCTCCACTCCTGGGGCACGTAGGAGAAAAGTAAAAACACTTTTATTATGCAAATCGTATCCAAGCTATCGATTAAGCGCAGTCTCAATTTCGTCGGATCAGCCGTTGTTGAGATCCGAAAATCTGCGGGCCCGTCAACTCGTGTACTCGTGTAAACTTACACGGTCGGTCTCGCATGCGTGTACTAGCTACGCTTACACTTAGCGCGAGACACTACCGTGTCTCGTGATACGAAATATAGAATTTTTCTTACGAAAAATAGAATTTTCTTCTATGCGCTGCACTGCACTCTTTGTCGACACTAGAGTCCCTTACTTTTTCTCTAGTCTAGTCCACAATGAAGACGCCATTTTGAGCGGCAAGTGGCCAGACTCTATATTCTAGGGACTCTAGTAGTAGTAGAGCTATATATGTATTCCGAAGGTATTTGACGAGCCGTCATGGCCGTGTCGGCTAGCCGATAACCTCAGAATGCCCGCGCCGTGCGTCGTACCAAATTGCAATAATTTGTATGGTGAAAACCGCTCAGTATTTCGAATGCCAAGAAATGCCGTTCAATATAAACAATGGGTGGCAGCCATTCCAGGCATTCTTACACTGAAGCCGACACACTTTGTTTGCGACAAGCACTTTAACAAGGAAGATATAATCCGTGAATGGATTAAACGAGACTCGAATGGTCGAATCATCGCTCAGGTGAGTTTATATTAGATAAATTGTACATGTGCAAAGGATGCGATCTCATATTACATATATTACATGTTATATTGAAGGAACCATACAAGCGCCCTTATCTCAGAAAGCTTGCTGTTCCATCAAAGTTTCATGACCTTTCAACAACAAAGGACACGATTCGAACAAGGTAATGGAAAATTTCTGGCGAGTCCGTTGGCTTCGTGAGCGATTCGGTTCAGCTTGGATCTTCGATCAAGGATTCCTCTACTGAAACAGGTATTATTGTACAACTTAAAAAAATATAATGGAATGTAGTTTATAATTACAATATTAAATTTTTTAAATTTACAGGTACCAGTTGCAATTTTGTGTTGCCAATTGTGGATGGCGTCGAATTGGTTTCACCGATGGATGCTGATCCTCCGGTAACAACACCGGTAGTACTCGCGGATACCGATTCTCCGGTGACAACACCGGTAGCACTCGCGGATACCGATCCTCT